AATAAATAAAAATAAATAAATATTAAAAAAAAAAAAGAAACACAGAGACCTCAGAAGTCAAGGCAAAGAGCGAACAGGGCACAGGAAGGGTGGTGCCTCTCAAAAGAAATGTAAACCCTGCGGAGGGCCAACCTGGCCCAGAACTTGAGCAGGGGCAGTCTAAGCACAACACAGTCCTACAGGGGGACAGGCAAGCCAGTCGTGTCCTGCTGCTTCTGGAGACTGGGCTTAGACACTTACGTGCAATCATTCTGATACAGTTGAGTAAATTTCCCATGGTTTCTCTAAGGTAAGAAGCAAAAAGTATAAATAAGGACCAAACTGTACACTCTACCTTGGGAATTAGGAAGAACACTTCCAACAAAATGGGAACTAGGGGGAGGAGAGGGATAATAGAAGGATGGGGAAAAACAATAAGAGGAAGAATTGAAGCAAAGCTTTTGCAAATAAGAAGAGGAAGAGTGTTTTAAAGAAGGGAGGAGGATAGATATTGAATTGTGATATATCGTGTACAGGTAAAAATTCCCTCATGAGTGTGATCATTATGTTTATCAAAAATGTGACATATTAAAGGAAAAACTATTTGTAAGATGCTGCACTAAAACGTTTTATATACACTTGAGAGACCTGTAGTAAATTACGTTGACAATAAAAAAGTGACATAAAGGTAATTTTAAAATAATAACAGTAAAAGTCTGATTTTTGTGACTGATAAGTATATTTAAGAGCCCACATGGAAAGAGGAGGCCATTAGGGAGAAGGTACCTGTAGCTGGTGACAGGTGATGCTGGCAGGAGAAGTGTGAAGAGGGTCTGGGATTGAGAAACTTTGAAGGACAGAAGGCAGGACACGTGAGGGCTGGGTACTGAATGAAAGGACTAGTGATGGACACTGTGTAGAGGACACGTGGTGATGGCTGGATGGACACACGAGAGGGACATGGACACTGGGATCTGTCCATCAAGGATGCTGTGCAGATGCTGAGTGGATGGCAAATGCTCCACAGGGTAAAAATCACAAAGAAAAAAATAGTGGGGTCATGGTGGGGCACGCCTATAATCCTAGCACAATGGAGGCTGAGTCACATGGATACTTGCGATTTTGAGACCAGCCTGAAGGACATAGTGAGTTCAAACCTAGCATAAACTGCATAGTGAGAACCTGTGTCAAAAAGGTAAGAGGAGGAAGAGGAGAAGGAGGAGGAAGAGGAGGTTCATGTGATCATTTTTGACTGGGTGAAAAGACTAACACCCATTGTCAAACATCTGAAAATGTTTGGACCTCCCAGCCCTACTCCACAGAAATCCACTCGACTCACTCCCTACCATTCCTCCCTGCCTCTACTACCTTGTGTTCCAGCCTCCTCCATCCATGCTCTCTACTTCTCAGGTGCCTGAGAAGCTTCCAGAATGCACCTGGAAAGCCAGCTCATGCCTCTGTGCTCTGTCCCTCTGCTTCCCAGTCCTGGGCTATGTGCACGCCCTTGATCCTGAGAAGACCCAGTTTCCTGAAAAAGCTAAGACCCCCAGAGCACAGCCCTATTCACCAATGAGATGGGAGCTGTCCCTTCCAGCATGACCCATAGCATCAGGACCATAGGTCCCTCTTGGAAATCCACAATAAAAGTCTCCTGCACTCTCCACTGTCCTGATACCCACAAGGACACCACCATGGTCACAGCATCATCTCAAAACACTGCAGGTGACACAATTACCCAGGAAATCAATTGGAATGAAGAAATCAGGGGAGATTCCTTTGACCTTCCCGTCACCAGTGCTGTTGGTGCTCTTACTGTCTCACACATACACACAGAGAAGCAGGGACAGCTGGGGGAGGGACCACTGTGGTGACACAGGAAGGAGCTGAGTGTTGCATCACCTTTCACACTGCATCCCAGCATTGTCACCAGAACACGCATCGACTCGGTGACACAGTAAAGACATTTGTTTGTCAAAGCAACTTCCTTCCACCTGCCACAGTGGTAGTAAGGAGGACTGAAGTTCAGGGTTAATGAACAGGAGTGGTTTAGATGGGAGAGGGACACAGCACACAACACCACCAACGGCCAGTCGCAGTAACAACACAGATCACACATGAGATGCCCCACCAGGAAGACTTCTCCTGAAACAAAGTAAAGTCACTCACGAATGACAGAAAACACAAAGGGGTGGCTTGGCAGGGACCATAACTGGGGGTTGTCGTGAGAGCCGTAGCACGTGTAAGTCTCATTCTGGTCCAGGCTCCCAGCAGAGATGAGGAAGGAGCTGTGGTTCTGACGAGAACAGTCCTGGGGGAAGGAACCTCCTCCCCTGCACAGGATGTAGGTGTCATAGCGCTGGACTGGCTGGCACCAGAGAGTCACGTTTCCTCCTGAGGCCACCTGGGCAGCTGGGTGGGCAGTCAAGGAAGGCTGGTCCCTGTAGACACCTGGAAGGGAATAGAGCCTGATGTTGAAAATCATGAAAATAGCCCTGCATTTCTCGTGGCCAGATAGAGAACAAAGAATCTGAGAAGAAGCTCACATCTTCCAAAAGAGTAAGGATCAGGATGATTAAACCCAAAATCCCTCCTTTATAATGTCCCAGGAACCAGGACCTGAGATAAGGAGGTGTCAATGCCTGTGAAGCGCCTCCTGGGGACTCCAGCCACCTGTCAGAGGCAGCAGTGGTGACAGGCAGCAGAGAAGGATGGAGAACCCGAGAGCTGGGCAGAGAGGCAGGGCTTGTGGTTAGGCCCAACTGGACCAATGAGGTGGTCACAGAGAGCTACATGGAGCACAGTGTCCCTGTTGCCCTCACCTGTCACCACCAGCTCCAGTGACTCACTGCATATGGACCAGGTCCCTTGCTTCCAGTATCCACAGGAATAAATCCCTGCATCATTGTCTGTCACCTTCGGCAGGGAGAATTGCTGAGCATCTTGGGCTCCATCTAGGTCTCTGTCGTACCATATTTCTCGAAGTACTCCGTGATATAGACGCAACGAAGTCACCCCTGCTGGGACTCTGCAGAAGATGCTCCCAGAAGCATCCAGGGGAAGCACGGCTCCTGGCACCGCCCAGATGCAGGGACGCGAGGATGAGCCTGGAAGCAGAACCAGATCCCGAGCACTGGGAGGGAAGGAGAGGTCTCTGCCTGACGCCAAGGCTCCCAGGCCACTCAGGCTGAGGCTGGGGACACACCCAGGATCTCAGCTGGCCCCTTGGGTGTGATTGTGGGCCTATCCTTGCCCAGACATGTGACAACAGACAGGGGAGGAGTTTCTATCCCATCCAAATGAGGCCTGAATGTATCTTCAGCCCGTGACACCACCAGCCTGTGACAGGAGCCCTTGCTGTGGCTTCCAGAAGCCACCACTCAGGGGCTGGGACCAGCAGAGTCTGCTCCCCATCTGATTCCTGCCATCTCCAAACCCTTGTGTGGGGAGAGTAATAGGCTTTGGTAGGTTATGGTCCACGGACAGACTGCCAAGTTATCGTGGCCCTGCTCCAACATGGCTGACGCCCAAAACAACAGCTTCTCTTCCCAGTGAACACTTCCTCCTACCATACTCCAGTTCTGGGTACAATGTCCTTTTCTTCACACACACACACACACACACACACACACACACACACACGCAGGTGGGGCTCCAATCAGCTCCTTGTCTATCATTAAACCTGCCCCTGAAACTCCACCCTCCTTATAAAGTCTCAAGGTCCCATCTCAGGTCAGAGGATCTGCCCGTCTCCCTGTCCGTGATCCTCTCCATGTCTTCAGAGTTAATCAAGGCTTCCCTGCCCAGTATTTCTGCTTCTCTGCCACACCGCCACCATCGCTGCCATTGCTGCTGCCACTAAAACCTACCAGGTTCCTTCTTCAATTTTCTCACATGTACACAGAACACGTCAGCAGGTCCCTGTGCTAACAAGTGCCTGGAAGCACAAGGCCAGCACTGGGAACTCCTGCCAACTGGAGGGGCCAAAGGTAAGTTGTATTAATCTTGTGAGGGCTCAGCGAATTTGGCATTAAATTATGTTATATGAGTTTTTCTTTCCACGAGTATCTGTACATGTTTGACAGACTGAGCGCATATTTTCATCTCCACACACAGCTATCATCTCCCATTTAGCTATTCACTTAGATACCCACATACCTATCTGACACCCCTCAGAGTTCACCACGGACATGAAGCATCTTTGTGTCCCTCATTGTGTGAGTGTATATTCATCTATGTATGTATGTATGTATGTATGCATGTATGTATCTCTCTCTGACATACACATACACACACATGTATCTCTCTCTCACATACACATACACACACACAAATACACACACACATAAACTCCATTGCCAGATCTCCAGAACAGTTCAGCCACCTCCCACCCACACCTGAGTAACTATGTGTAAACTTCAGATGCTGAATACTCTCAAAGCCCTCAGCCATGTTATCAGCCTGGCCTGTGTGCCTGGCCTTGTCTTTCCTGAGCACCACAGTACTGGCTTCTCCCTCCTCTTCCCGGCCTGGGAAGGAATCCCGGGGATCCACTATCCCATCACTCTGCTGTTCCAAGGTTCCTGGGCGCAGTGGGAATTATGTCTCCTTGAACCACCGTCTGGTGCCTCCCTTCATCTTCCTCCACATCAATCCAATCCCTGCCCAGCCCCATCCTGACCCAAGAGCCTCAGATCCCATTTAAACACATATGTCAGAAATTGTTGACCTGATTCTCCTACAGCTCAACATAACAGCATGGCTTTACTTCTTATACTTCGTTTTTATACTTTTCTGCTGGATGGTTAAGACAAAGATAAAGCAAGACCTATTCAACAAGAGTTGCAGTTGTTCAGTCTGATAAGGTCAGTGAAATCCCCTCAGAATTTCTCCTGAGATGCTGTACCTCAGATTGTAGAACCTTGTCAGTGTCAGCCATGTGGATGAGTCATGGCCATTGCTTGGCCAATGTGCTCTCTGTGAAAGCCTGAGAGAAGGTTTTCTCTCCATGTGACTCTCCTTAGGCACACTCTACATCATCAATCACTTTCCTCTTTGGTCCCATAATCTCCTCGATCAGAAAATTTGGGACACTACTGAGTTACATGATGTAACAGTACAAGTTCTCCTATGTCCTGAGTCTTAATTGACCTTGGAAGGCTAGGGCCAAAATGTTGGCTTTCCTTGCGGCCCTCCTTTTTCTCTAATTTTGGTCTGCAAACTTAAGTTGTTAACCCTACAAAAGAGAAGCTTATTGCTATTACCATACAACTTAGGCTGTTAAGTTTAACCTTGCTGTATGAATGTCAAACATCTTAGGCATAACATGGAACAGGTATTTTTCATCAAATATTGACATATTGAACTTTAAGTCCCTACCAAATATGATGAAAAAACTTTTAAAAATTAGAATATATTTTTAAAATAGGCATAAAAATTATGTCATTCTTATGTTTACACATAAGTCCATAAATCTAAACATAATCAACCTTGAAGCAGGACAGGCCCACGACATTCTTTTTCCTCTCTCCTGCCTTCATTCACCACCCCCTTCTTTTTGAACAAGCATCCACCTGAGAGACAGAGAGGTGGAAGACCCAATACTATTATGGACTACTGGACTCAGAATATTTTGCTGAGTTTACACACCTATGACATTCAAATAAAGGAACTAAACAAAAAAAGGGGATACACATGAATGTCCATTTTGTATGTGCATTTAAAATGGTTAGGATAGATATATAGTTACATTCTCTTAATGAATAGAGGGATTTGTTCTAATAGTGTTTGTAAATAGGATACCATATCCACATCTTGTACAGCAATTAACCAGTAGGAAGAATATATGCAATGCATTAATTATTAAAAGTGTCCTACCAGTTTGGTTTGAAACTGTCTCATTGCTATTTGTTTCTCAATAAAATTATGGAAAAAATAAATAAATACATACATATGTCACTTTTGCCTTCTGCCATCAGCCTGCAGTGGCTCTGCTGTCACTGACAGAGACTCGTGAGCGCTGACCCTGCTCCACACATCCCAGTGGGTGCTAACCGCACTCCTACCTCATCCTCCTCACATGGCCCTTGCTAGACATGCTTCACCCTTGAGCAAGTCCACGTCATTGTCTCCAGTTTCTCCCCAACTCCTGTGTTCCCACAGTGGCTCCAGCCTGCCCCCTTCCATTGTTCTACCACAGCACAGGAAACACCCCTCCCACACCCTACGCCCAACCTCCCTGCAGCTGTCTCCTTGGTACGCTCTCTGCCCTTCTGCCTTCACACTTCTCCCAAGTGTCCAACTTCTACTAACGCAGCACTTTAACATGACCAATGGCTTCTTCTCATTTCTTTCACAGGGCGAGTTGTCAGATTTGTCAAACACACATAGCGATGTTGGGGTCACAGGTAGGTCCCATCATCTGCACTAAGTGGGAATGGACTTTGCACTGGACATGCGTTAGGGAAAGTGAGTATCTCACAGACACAGCTGACAATACTGGCCCTGAGAAAACAGAAGCTCATGACCTGAGCCAGCAGCTGCAGCCGCCGTGTGACCACTTAGAGCAGCAAGGCCCAGAGGATTTCACCATCTGTTTTCTGTGTCCACTGATAAGCACCATGTTGTTCTGCTACTGAGAGCAGAAACTGGGTGACAAAGGCAAAATTTTCCTGCGGAGAAGGTCACAGAGCAGAAGCACATAGGACTGGGCATTTTACCTTAACTCCATGTCCTGATTGAGGGAGCCCTGGCCAGGAAGAGCTCTTGAGCACAAGGCACTCAGGAGACTCCCTCCAGACAGCAAATGCGGGGCTCACAGTCTCACGGGAACCATGGCCATCCTCTCCTCAGGACCCAGGTCCTGTGCCCAGTCTGCTGGCCTGAGCCGCATTCCCAGTGCATCACGCCTGCGTGTGCCACGGGCACTGTTGGTGACCCACAGAGGAAGGGTGTGGATGGCAGTACAGAGCAGGCTCCTCCCACCTCAGCCCAGCGCCCTCAGCCCCTCAGCCCTGCCTCACTCACAGCTGCCAGGACTGAACAGAGAGAAACTCACCTCTGTGGGCCCAGGTCACCTCCTCCAGGGCAGCCACTGGAACAAGAAACCCATGAGAGGCGTCCACCTGGGACATGTTGACCCCCAGCCTTGGGCTCAGGACACAGAGTGGGGTCAGGGAGCCCAGGGGCTCCTCTAACCCCTGATGGAGCTCACAGAGGGAGAGCCTCATGAGGAGAGGAGCCCTTCCCCTCCCACTGCCCACCTCACTTCCCTGGAGGGCTCACCAAGTCCCAGCAGCAGAGCGAGGCCAGCGGCCATGGTGCTGCCCCAGCTTAGGTCTACACAACTGTTCAGTGTGTGGTTCGCCCACTGGCACTGGGGACAACAGGGAAACACAGCCTGGGGGTCGGTCCTTGCCACAGCGTGATGAGATCAGCTATTAAACAGGAAGGCAGCAGCTCTTGCACAAGGCCAGGCCCTGACTGTCAGCCTAGTCGGCATCTCCGAGTTCCTCTCTGGGTTTCGGGCCTGAGCTTCCAGCCACAGTGACTCTGCCCATGGGCTGTGCACATCTGTAGGAAGATGACGTCACTAGAGACAAGGATGAGCCGTGCAGCCAGGAAAATGAACCTCACACATGTGGGATTCACTACAGCGTGAGAGGATTCAGGGTTTGCTACAGGAAGAAACTGAATCTGAGACTATCAAGGAGGGGATGTATGGCCAGTGGAGGTGTCTGGGGCCTCACACTTTTGTAGCAGATGGATTCTGTCAGGGAAACTTCTCTGGCACGTTTGAAAACCTTTTGCCTAATGCTGACAGTGCCCTTTTCTCATGCTTGAAATTTGCTAAGAAAATAGCTCTTCTGGTTTTTTATAAATAAATGAAGTGAAAGCCTAAGAAAATGAAAAGTTGGGTTAGATATTAACAGGTCATGGGTGTCCCTGCAGGTGCAGGTGGCACAGAATATGCTTCTCTGAGATCTCATCAAGATGTGAATACTGGGGCTGGGAAGATAACTCAGTGGTCCAGGTGTCTGCCTGGCACGTGCCAAGACCCGGGCACCTCGTGTGGCACCAAACCAGACATGGTGGTGCACACTTGTAATTGCAGGGCTGGGGAGGCTGAGACAGGAGGATCACTACAAGTTTGAACTGCATAGCAAGACCCTGTACCAAATAAATAAATAAAAGAGTAAGAAGCCATCGTTAGCCATGCGCCACTCCTTTTATGTCAATCGTCCCTCAACAATGTGTTTTATAAAGGAAGTTTCTCTGGCATGATTGCAGACCAAGGATGCTGTCCAAACAAATTTTCTGCATGGGGCCACGTCTAGAGACTTTGGAATAGAAATTTTAATTCACTCGAGTGTCAGGTGTCTTCATTGAACTTGGGGAATAAGTAAACTCTTGACTATCTGTTCTTCCTTTAGCATTTTAAAAATTTATCTTACTTCTCACTAAATATTTGTGATACTAGAGAGAAAAATTTCTCCAAGCTTTCACAGAGAGCAAATTGATCAAGCAATGGCCATGGCTGATCCAGATGGCTGACACTGACAGAAGATCTACATGCTGCTATATGTGGTTCTAGGGGCCGGTGAGATAGCTCAGTAGAATAAGTGCTTCCTTGGCAAGCGCAAGGGCCTTAGTTCAATCCCCAGTTCCACCACAAAAAAAAAAAAAGATAGATATACAGCTACTTTCTCTTTGTTCAATGAAATGAAAGTTAGTACTAATATTGTTTAGACAAGATATCATGTCTGACAGAAAATACCTGTTCCATATTGTGTCTAAGGCATTTGATATTCAGACAGACACTGATGTTAAGCTCAATAGCTTATATTTTAGGGTAATAATATCATTAAGCTTCTCTTCTGGTGGGTTAACAACTTAAGCTTGCAGACAAAAAAAATCAGGGAAAAAGAAAGGCTACAAGGATAGGCAACATTTTGGCCCTAGCCTTTCAAGGTCAATTAGGACTCAAGACATAAGACAACCTGTACTCTAACATCCTGTAGTTCCGTGGTGACCCAAATTTTCTGATCAAGGAGATTATGAGGCCACAGAGGAAAGTGATTGACGACATAGAGTGCTTAAGGAAAGTCACATAGAGAGAAAACTTTCTCTCAGGCTTTCACAGAGAGCGAACTGGTCAAGCAATGGCCATGACTCATCCACATGGCTGACACTGACAAAAGATATACAAACTGCTGTACAGAGTTTCAGGGTAAATCCTGAGGGGATTTGACTGACCTTGTCAGATACAAAAGTTAAATTTTTTGTTAAATAGGTCTTGCTTGATCTTGGTCTTTACCATCCAACAGAAAAGTATAAAAATTAGGTATAAAAAGAAAAGCCCTATTAATATGCTGAGCTGTAAACGGCTCAAGCCAACAACTTCTGACATGGCCAGTCATGAGGATAACCCACTACTGTTACAGACTACTGGAACATGTTGGAGTACTCTGCTGAATTCATGCACCTACAGTTTATGAATGGCAATGGAATACCCATCTCTGACAAAAACAAAAACAAAAAAGGGGGATATAAATGAACGTTCATTTTGTAGTGAAATATACATATAACTATATTCAAAATAACATAGATATACAGCTACTTTCTCTTAGTTCAATGAGAAGAAAGTTCTGAACCAATAGTGTTTAGACAAGATATCATGTCTGCATCCTGTACTCTGAATAACTACTACGAAGACAACAATATGCAATGTATTATTATAACTGTGCTAGTAACCTGTTTTGAAACTGTTTCATTGTGAGTTCTTTCTCAATAAAATTAATATAAAAAAATCATATCTGCATCTGGTCCTCTGAATAAGGACTGCAAAATCAACAACATGCAGTGTATTAATTATTCTAAACAGACTACTAACCTGTTTTGAAACTGTTTCTTTGCTAGTTTACCTTTTTCTCATTAAAATGAATAAAAATTTTAAAAAATAAATAAATATTTGTGACACATAACATACATTTTTATGAAAAGAATTCAATAGAATATTTTGTGTTGTAAAAATACACATGATTCATTTTGCAAGGTTTTTTTCTGTTAAAAGTGTGATCCAGCAACACGTCTCTCCATGTGGTGAAGACGCTTATTCCTATCGTGGTAATTCATTTGACTTGCTGCCATTCTTCACTCAGGGAAGTCTTCATTTCTACAAAACGGATTCAGTTCCAAGAAAGGCTCAACACCCTCACTTCCCACTCCCCAGGAAAGCTCTAGGATGCAACCTCGCAGTCAAGTTGCACAAAAACCAACAGGAAGGAAGAGCCCCAGCCCCAGAGCGGCAACCGCATCCAGAGGAGGACTGTGGCTCTAGATGTAGGACCCGCGCTTGTGTCTGCAGAGAGGTCACGCCTGGCCTAGGCTGTCCAACCAGCTGTGGGGATAAAGGACAAAACATCCAAAGCGAAACCTTCACCGGAGAGGGTAAGAGGAGTGCAGGACAACAGCACCCCAGGAAGGAGGGCAATAAGCAAGACCGGACATTGCTCGGAGTCTGAGTTCGCAGGCACTTTTAAAGCCTTTTGGGGAGAGCAAGCCGACCCCGTGGCTGTAATCTGGACGTCACGTGGGGGCTGACCTCACACAGCTCTATGCAGGGAGCCAACAGGCAGTTGCCCTCGAATCCCCAGAAATGCAGGGCTGGCTGGTGCTGACAGACGAGGTTCAGGAATGTCCCTGGGCCCAACCTGCGCCTGAGCACGCACCCACAGACACCCCAGGCCTCCAGGTGGAGATCAGTGTGAATCCCGTGCAGGGCTGAGCGCCCGCTGCCCACTCCGCCTCAGCAATGGAGCCCACGGGAGTGTTCACCCCTCGGCTCTGATGGGAAGGAACAGCCACCCGTAGCCACACTTCTGTGCGTGCTGGCTGTTGTAACTCAAAAATCAGATGACAACGAGGCAAGTCCAAAAGTTAAAAGAAGCACTTTATTTTAGCTGGTACCCAGCGGTGGTCTCAATGCAAGGTGCAAAGAGGCGCGCCGAGCATTAACAAGAATCGGTATTTCAGCTTGAAAACTGCAGAAATAGGGGAGGGGTGGAGAGGAACAAGTGGCAGGGTCATTAGTTCATGGGGTGGTCCTGTGGGGTGAAGGTGCTGAGCTGGCAGTCATACAGAGTTCATTGAGATAAGGTTTAGGGAGCAGATATCATAAGACTTGAGTCATAGGGGTGAGGAATTGGGAGGAATTTGACCTGGCAATCAAGGGGTGAGGCATTGGGAGGAATTTGAGTTGGCAATCAAGAGGCGAGGCACTGGGAGGAATTTGAGTTGGCAATCAAGGGGTGAGGAGTTGGGAGGAATTTGAGTTGGCAGTCAAGGGGTGAGGCGTTGGGAGGAATCTGAGTTGGCAATCAAGGGGTGAGGAGTTGGGAGGGGTTGGCACATACAGAACAGGAACTTGGTGAGGTTAGAAGGGCAACAAAATGGAGTCAGTTTTGACAGGGTACAACACTGGCCTAATCCCTGGGCAATGCCTCATCCAGCTGGAGGTGTTCTGGGATCATGCACCCACAAAGCAAACAGGGGGATCACATTACAGTCACCCTGCAGCAGGACCTCAGCGACCACCACCTCCACCAGGACCTCAGCGACCACCACCAGCTGTCTCCTCATTCTTGGAACAAGTAGTTAGTACGTGGCGTGGTATGATCTGATTAACATTTTCACACCTTTCTCCCTTTCGTGACAAGAAAGTGACTTCAAGGTAAAGTCAACAAACTTTGCTTTGTTCTCTGATTTCTTTCTTAAGTCCTGAAAAATCTTCCAAATTTGACCCAGAACTGCAAAAACAGAACAACTGAGTGCAGAATTCAACACTAAATTATTTATTCAAGCAGAATCCACGAGGGCACGCCTAGCTACTTCCTTGCACATCCCCACGTCTGATGCCTTCCCATGGCACCCTGAACCTGTGAGACCACCCTGCTGGTCACTGTGCCGGTGCCCACAGCGCCCTACTCTCAGCAGCATGAGGGAGTCGGGCAGGTCTCAGCTGGCGGTGCTGAGATGCTTCCCACGCCAGCCCCGCAAAGCATCTCTGAGACGCTCCTGTCCCAGCAAAGCGCAGCAAGGTCTGCTTGTCCACTGAGTTTGCACTCAGGAGGGGCGCTCTGGCCATCTGAGATGGGGGTGAGTATGGGATGGTGCAGGTGGAAAACACAAGGGGCAGCTCCAGCCCCGACACAGGGTGGGGCACGGGGGAGGCGTGTGGCTAGGGAAAGGCGGCGGGGAGTGAAAGGCTCCAGCCCGAGTATAAACCGCTGAATTATTATGGTCGTCATCATACATGGCTGAGGCCAAGAGCCAGAGCTTATCTTCCCAATGACCGCTTGCTCCTTCTTCTCCACCCCAGTCCTGGATACCTTTTCCTGTGCCACAGGGAGCCCCCAGTCAGCTCCTGAGGTGTCACTGCACCTGCCCCTCAAACTCTGCCCCTAGCAAAAGTCGATGAAGTCTCAGCCTTCCACTGCCTCAGCTC